GTACAGACTGGCCAGAATGCCTCCTAGATCGATCTCGATCTATCCTATCACTATCAGGTGCAGAAGTCTCAACCTCTTCAACATCTTTCGCTCTCCCTACTACAACATCGAATACCTCTTCTTGATGAGTAACTACCTGATAACGCAACTCATATCAGAGTCTCTGAGCAAACTTTCGGCACCTATCTCTCTCGGTAGGCACCAGATTGAATCTATACTTTAATAATTTCAAGAACTCGATCTCGTACTCAGAAACAGTCATATCTCCCTGAACCAAGTCCTGAAACTTATATTATCTCTGAGCTAGATAGCGCTCTCCTAGAAAACGACTCCTAAAGCGCTATCTGAAGAAATCTCAAGTCAAGCGATCGACTGGAACACTGCTGACCACAGATTCCCACCAGGTGTGGGCATTGTCATCCAACATAGAAATTGCTCCTAAATAACGTCGATGCGGATCTAAACCTAGTTGATCCATGTGTCACTCTGTATCACTGAGCCAATCCTTAGCCTCAGTCGGTGCTCCACTAGTAAGGCCACTAAATGTCCTAACACCATTTGTAATAAGGGTCTGAGAGATGCAGACCTCGGGTATAACGTTTGTAGCTCTTACTGCTCCCTGAATTAACTGAAGAAATTGTCTACCAAGATTCTCATCTAATAAAACTCTAGTAGACTAGGGCTCAGTAACGGTCGCTCCTCTAATCGGGGTAGTCAAGCCAATACCAGAGGCATGAGGCAGATCCATCAGGGTCACAGGATCAGGATCATTTATCGGAGGCGGGGGATCTATACGTATCTCATCTACCGGGTCTGCAAATCTAATCACTCGACCTTGCCCACGGCTAGTTCGACGACCACGTCTAACACTCATCTTGGTGGATCTCGAGTTTACTACAGAAGATAAAGCCTAGGGTTAGATTGGCAGTTGTAGTTCCGGAACACAATTAAACTCATAAAAACTCTGTGACATGGCCTTAGTGAATTGTTTTGTAAAATATTTCAAATCCGTATTTTCAGTTTGGACCAATTCATAGTCCGCGGTTTAAAAACCAAAAGCTATGATACCAATTAAATGTAACCCCTAGACCTAGCCTATGCGTTTCGACTAAGTCTAGAGGATTACACGAAATATTTTTAAAGACATTTTCCAAAAATGTTATTCGATAATTTAATATCATATTACAAATGGCATTTATAAAAGTATAATAATTAACGATAAAAACTCAACTCGTAATTATAAAACTAAAAACGACTAGATAAAATAAAACATGTAATAAATCTGAGGTACAGTAAATCAAATATCAGTAGCGAAGTCAGTAACCATCATAAAAAGATAAGTACTTCAAAAATAAGGTACATGTCGCCATAATTAAAAACAGTTTGAAAGATACAAACATTACAACAAAAAGATTTGTACTAAATGTGCCAATCCTCCAAGTGCCTAATATAGAGTGCCTATCCGAGAATATCTGAAAGAGGGTAAATCAGTTTGAAAAGTGAGCGATAGACTCAGTGTGTCCCAACAGTGCAGAAATAAAACATACAGTTGTGCTTTTTAAAATCAGTACAGATCACAGTTATTAAAATATCATAGGAGTTTTTAATTTAAAAATTTCGAATCGTCCTCCAACCAAACGCCATATGCAGTTCCCCAGAACTGCACAACCAAAGGGGGTACCTTAGAGCTTAAGAGCCTATCCAAGACAATTATCGGGGCCACGTAGACTTACCCAAGAAAAATCTCGGGGCCATAGAGTCTACCCAAGGGTCGCCTTAGGTCCATAAAGAATTACAAGTCGGTGCTGAACCTATACAAGGAATTACCAACAACGACTGAACCTACCAAAGTCTTCATACCAAATCCCAAAGTGCCCCGAATAAAACATTTTTCAGATAGTAACCAGTAGCAGCAGTAAATCAGAGTTCAGACAGATCATCACTTCAATAAAATAGTAACCATAAATCATAATTCAGGCAATCAAGCTTTACATTTTAGTAAATCAGGAATGAGGTTTCAAAACAAGTAACTTATATAGTAGTCAAATCAGATCAAACATTATATTTCAAATCAGAGAAAACATTCTTGTGCACATGAGATTTTAAACAGATATTTAAAACATTTATATTGCTCATAAGGAACACACCTAGCAAAATGGGTCAATTCGAAATATCTATCTAGCACCGACTTCACTAGGCTCTTTGACTAAAAGAGAACCTAACTCATATCAGAACAAGGTCATATACGAAATAATATTCTAAACAGAATATCTAACAGGATTACATAACTATACGAGTATTCACGGACTCTCGAGAACGAGCGGATCGGGAGAAATCAGGTCGAGCAATGAAACGGTCATGAGATCCCCGAGTACCTTTAATATGCGATAACAATAATTAGTCTTTGACCATTCGGTTCAATTAACGGAATTAAAACACTTAAATAAATGTATTTTTCGGGTTTACATGTCATTTCAGAGGCTTTCGGGTTTGAATTTAGAAAAACGGACTTCAGATTCGGAATCAAGACGTCGATTAACATAAAGTATAACTTTTCAAAAAATTTAACTTTTCGGGTTAAAGTCAACGGGTCAGATCAAAGTCAACAGGTCTAGTCAAACAGTTCGGGTCGGGTAGGGTCAGGTCAACAGTTTGGGTCGGGTTAGGCCAGTTCAGGCCGGTCCAAACTGACTAGACCGGTTTCTAGAAAAAACCAGGTGGGGACAAGGCCCACGCGTACCCGGCGGCGCGTAAGACGACGGAAGGGTCGGGGGTGGACGACCGATTGTTCCCGAGTACATCAAACAACTAAAAAACCCATATCAAGTCTTAAATCAACCTAAAACCGTAATAAACAACCGAAATTACGATAATACCTTACTCACGATGATAAAAACGACGACGGTGGCTTCTGTCGGGTTTTGAACGTATAACAACGAGGAATCGATATTTAGGGGCGGTGAGGCGAACGATTGAGCACGATAGTCGAATTTTGTCGAAAATTGACGCGACAGATTGATGATTTCTCCTTCTGCTATCAACGATCGGTGGTCGAAACAGTGGAATTGAGGGTCACGTTTACGTCGTTAGAGGATGTCGATTCGATTTCCAGTGACAGAGCACGGTAACGATGAAAAATTTGGTGACGGGGAGCGGTGCCTAAAGGTTCCCAAATTTAGGAGGAAATGAGGTTGAATCACGGGGAGGAAGGGGTTTTTCTGGTTTGGGGTAAATAAAAACTCAAATATAAAACGAATAATATATATATATATTATTATTATTTTAAACATATATAGGGTCTAGGCCGGTTGGGAGGGGCATGGCCGGGTATACCTTAGATCATGGGTTTGAGCTAGGCCAGCCCCCTACTCTCCTTTTTTTTTTTAATTTTAGCTGATAGACAAGGATGGGTAAATTATAGGGTTGGTCCTTGAATTTCTAAAATTTTTGACTTTAGCACAGAGGTTTCTAAAAATTTGCAGTTTAGTCCAGAAAAACAAATAATTAATTTTAGTTAAATTTTTGGGTTATGACAGTTTCCATACACCATCTGAGTCCAAGTTGCTCCATCCAACTGGTGGAGGTTGACACTCGAGCAATCAACCACCTTCCTCCTAAGGAACCTCTTGCCTTGTAAGGACAACGTATGACTAGCCTCCAGCTGTAAACGTCGACCGCATAGCATCACGATATCTGTATCCAAGAAGTCAGGGTCAAAAATAAATCTATTTCTCCTTGTCCATAGACACCATACGATATAACCGAAAAGTAAATCTCAGTCCTCATGCACCCCGGAAAGCAAGCTAGTTGAAGAATATTGACACTAATCCAATCTCTAATATTCATGGTGAGAGATTCATCCAATCTCTCCAATTTCACAAGTTTCCTACAAGTCAATTGTGCAACCCCAAATTTACGAAAGATATACGAGGTGGATTCCATAGAGGTGCCTCTGAAATTACAGTTAGACTGTCCAAGAAGATTGTGGCTGTGCATGCAAGTTTTGTAACTCGATCTGCAACTGCTAGCCAAGAAAAACCAATTTCATTGAGGGAAATTTTAGGAAGAGGATGGGGTGATATTGGTTATTTTGCCTTTTGGGTTAATCTCGACTGATTCCTTTCTTTTAAGAGGTGTTTCATGCTCTTCGCATCAATTGTTGATGGTAACATTTAGGTTAAGGCGATTATAGACAATTCACCTGTTTTGATTTAACAAAGAGCCACAACCAGTAAATTTACGGCCGATGGTCGATTGAAGAGGATAAGTTATGTTCTCTATCTCTAGGTAAGAAGAGAGTAATGAGTGAAATTCTTCTCTCAATCTTGGATGAAGGGTTTTATAACGATCCTTTGTGTTGATTTGAGATTTAGGGTCATGATAATTATTCGTATGTTAACATAAAAAATAGTTATGAGCTTACCAGAAGTCTTGTCAAATCATATGAACCTACCAGAAGTCTTGTCAAAAGATCATGGCTAATTAGAGGATATAGATCTCTTCTTTCTAATGATTCGAGGGACGAAAAAATGACAACGAGGATTAGTTTTGTGGAGGAGATCCAAATGAGGTGTAGCAAAAACCAAAATTTTAAGAGAAATAACCACAGATGATAAACTTGCGTTCAGAAAATAGCTGTTCTTAAGGGTCCTGAATATCCACATCCAACAGCTTTACAGTGTGAGAAAGGTGGCATGGTGGCCAACGTATAGTGGAGGGGAAGAACAGCGGCTAACTTTAATAAACTAGGGATCAGAATTGCAAAGAGATAAGGAGAATAGAAACTGATATTTACTAATCAAAAGTGAATCAAAAGCCATACTGGCCCGTTACAAGTATAAGGCTTATATAGCCCAATATCTAACAATATGCTAACTACCCAGTTAACAACTACTAACAAATTCTCAAGTCTTATAACTATTTGTTTCATCTAACATGCAGAACAAGTAAATGGGGAAAGAAGACACGTCATCCAAGTAATCCATGCGTACATAATGAAAATAACATTTGAAGCAATGTCAAACGAAGGTAAAACAATATTTCTTCCGTTCGTCGGTGATATACATTCAATATGGAGATTTACATTCTGAAAATTTTCCGTTTCTTTTCCCTCCCTAATGTGGGCCATACATTCGCAGAACTAATCAGTAATATATGTATGTTACACGAAGACTTCCGGCCAGTATTCTAATACCAGTCGTCTTCGAGGCTAGCACGGTGGAAACACAAGACGGTGCAGATAAATATGATGAAAGATGTAAATTCAATGAACATTGCACCAGTAGAAATCATCTGAGCATGCCTAAGAATAATAGGAATTGCAAAGCTTCCCACAGCCGATGCTCCTGTAAGAAATTTAGCAGCATCTATCCATCTGCAAGATAAATCAACAAAAAACAATTAAAATATTGATACAACAAACAAATTAAATGTGATAAACATTGGGATCTCTCTCTCTTTCTCATACACACAAGAAAAAACACATTGAACTTCCTGCAAACTTCTGAAGGAAAGATCAAGCGGAAAGGTGAACAGGAAAACAGAGTAATAAAAATTCAGGAAATATTTTATCAAAAATCCAGACAACACATTCTCAATGCAACCAGTGACTTGAATAATATAAAAGTGAGTTTTAAAAGCTTAGATCGATAAGTACTCACCCTCCACCATCTCGGCTGGTTAGAAACTGAGTTGAGCCACCACCAAAGAATAAACAAGGCATTGGCACCAGGACATACATGAGAGCTGTGAACAACAGTAGATTCACATTATCAATTATTTTAATGCATTCAATGTATAAGTAAAGTAGCATGACCAACTCATCATAGCCTGTCTTACCTGAAAGCATTGGCCACCAGTTGTTATATAATGCACAAGCCTAAGAATTAGGAAAAATTACAATAATATTAGTCCATGATTTATTGGGAGTTAATGTTTTCAAAAAAATGAGGGAATTTGCTAGTGCAAATCAAGAAACAAGCCTAAGAAGAAACCAAAAGTAGGTCAAGTTAATAAAACAGTTGCATCAGTCAATGGATGATGAAAATGAATACAACAAATCCTTCAAACAGTAGGAAGAAAAGCCTGCCTCCCCCAACTAAACAGCTTCCACAACAATGTTTGTTTTCCTTTTTTCCAGCCTAGGGCTCAACTGCTAGAACCTTACCAGAATGCAAATTAACCCTTATAACACCCAATAAGAGGAAAATAGAAATGGCATTTAAATAATGAACTAAGCACTTCAATGGCACCTAGGACATCAAGTCCAATGAGAATAAAGACCTAAAATATATATATATATATATATATATTTTGAATGACAAAGGCGTAAAATATAAATAAGCTGATCTTGAAGAAATTTTGGCTTTTAGCATGTTAAAACTTTCTATTATCACACTAAACAAACACAGCATAGAGATGCACTCAAATTCCATTCAAAATAAAGTAAAAAGTATAAATACAGCATGCTTTCTAGCATAATGCCAAACATTGCTTCAATGATTAAATAAGCTTCCAATTGCAGTTCTAAGTACTAGCATAAGAAGTCTCCTGCAATGAATGAGAATTCACATTCCTGGATTTTTTCCCTAAAGAAAACCCAAGATCCTTTCAGGATCAAGACATTGCCAAGTACTAGCATAGGGTGTTTCCTGGAATGAATGAGAATTTATATTCCCTATTCTCAAGCTATCAAGACACTAGCACACAAGCAGGATAAGGGTGAAAATCATCTTCGATCAATACGAATGATAGAATACAATCACTTGACGAGGGCTTGAATCACGGTTGTCAACACCTTAGAGCCGTTATATATTGTTTCATCCCTAAGCTAGCAGCCACTAGTAAATTGCATTTTGGATAAAACTATGACGTGTTTCAGCCCATTTCGGCCAATATCAACGTATACCGGTGCATTGGTCCATATCAGTTGATATAAGATTTTGATATTATAAACCAATTTTTAATTTTTTATCCTAATCATCCTTTTTTATAATTACATTTAAAAAATAAAATATAATCTGATTTATTTTATTGAAGCTAATTAATAATTTTAAATTTATATTTGCTTATTAATAGCATGCGTGTATAATATATATTTTTATTAAAAAAAACTAGCAATAAGAATATAAATATATATAGAAAATACTTTAAAAAACTGAAAACCCCAAATTGATATATGGAAACAGATAGATATTGGTAAGTACAAAAAAAACAATATATATTCTAGTATGATACAGAGAACCTTGATTTAAATTCCGTGAATCATATCTACTTAGACTTGAAGACCGTGACCAACAAAAGCATAGAAGCATATTACTCACACCATATTTGAACACTAGAACTGCGTCTATCACAAGGAAAAATGTAAAACAAGAAAAGATTATAGATGCCAGTTCATTATAAATACCAAACTGTAAAATACACATAAATATATTATTGAGATGATAATACAAGAATACAGTTTCAATGCCAGCCATGGGCTTACAGCTGAATCAGATTAGAAAAACATACCAGAATTTGCAACAGAATACTCGATGAAAACATAAAAGCAAGCCCAGCAAGCCTGCATATTCAAAAATAAAGTACAAGTAAACTCCACTTTGCATATAACTTTACCAAAATTGAGAATTACAAAAAGTTACTCCAACTTACACTGCAGTTAACCAGATTCATCCAACAACCCAAAACAGCAAATGCACCCGAAAGCAAAAGAAAATGAAATTAGTCCTAAAATAATGTCAAACAAATGATGAAAAATCCAGAACCCTCATTAATGAAAGTTATTGGCTCTACAATCTAACCTCATTCCAAATCCCTATTTAATTGCAGGATTATAGTCAAACTGAAAGTATTCATCCTTGAAAATGTTTGAGAGAAGTACCAATTTTTAACGTTAAATTTCACAGTCAGTTGGGAAGAATGGGAAGGGCAAATCAAAGAGAAAAAGAAAAAGACGAAATATTGTAGAAAAGAGAGATTATTGTTACCTTCAATAGTCATCGCCATTTTCTTGCAGTAGGTGAAGTTGGAGTCGCAGTGGATCGAAATTTTGCTCACCAAAATTGAGATAGTGTAGAATAAAATCACGCGAACAAACTACTCCGGAGAAAAATATAGAAAAAGAAGGGTTCAATTTCCCTTAATAGACGGCGACATTAATCTTAATAATTTATATTTATGACACTTTTTTTTGTTTTTTTATATATTTTCTATTATTTTATTATTATTTTTTGATTAATTTTTTTGTAATTAGATTTGACATTATCATAAATTATCAAGATAAGTTTTTTGTTATCATGTAAATCTTTCATGCTTCAGACTTCAGATTGGATTTGGAAACGTAATTTGCATTCTTGGATAGATTTTTTTACGTTTCTCAACTCTGATTTAGGGTTTGTTGGTGATTTTTAAATAGTTTGATCTCCTTATGTGATTCGTTTGCTGATGCAATCATATATGTTCATTCTATCTTTTGTTCGAGTTTTTTTGTTAGATTTTTTAACCTTTCTCTTATATGATCATTGTGTGAGCTTAAGTGATGAGTTTTTTGTATTAATGGTTATAGAAAAGTGTAATTATTATCAATTTAGTTTATAGTTGTAACCTTCATAATAATTTTGTATATTTCCTTTTTTTAATAAAACGAAATAATATAATGTGATATAATGGTAGTTTTCGATTTATACATTATAGCATTTTGACCCTAATTGAAATAATTCAATTTATGATAACAATTTAATAGTAAGTAGTTGATTATGATAGAATGCAATACTCAACTGTTGTCTTAATCCGATTAACTCATTTGGTTTGCAAATATTAAAAAAAAATATGAAATTGGTGAAATTTTTAATTATGAATGATTAAATTTATTTAATTATTTTAAATTAATGAATAAATAAGTTTTATGGACTAAAATTATTATTATACCATACCACATTAAACATTTTTTAATTTTAAGGGCAAAGTGACATTTTTAATAATATTTTAATTGAGTGATTAAATTATAATTTATAGAGAAAAAAGTGACGCATTCATAATCAAACTAATAATTAAGTGACATGGGATGTATTACCATTAAATTAGGGTAAATTATCACACACGTCTCTTTTGTTTTATTTTTATCTTTTTTGTCATCAAATTTGTAAAAGCCACATTCCGATCACTTATTTTTATCGATGGTTATAATTTGATCATTAAGTTTTTAATTCTCGTTTTATTGAATGACGTGATAGTTAAAAGGGATTTGATTTTCAAGTTGACTCTTAAATTTTTGAAATGGGATATTTGTTTATTGTTTATCGGTAAATATAAGCTCTAATTTAGTGTTATTTTCCTCAAATTTATGTATGTCTGTTAAAAATATTATAAAAGCAATAAATATTTTTAGAAACATAATTTTTTTTAATAGTCTAGGACGATTATAAGGTAGTATATGTTTATATCCTATCGTAGCCATTAACAACATACATATACCCTGCAAACGCAACTGCTTGAACCTAGAACCTCTAGAGTGATAACACTGTCTTTAACTACTGAAGTTGCTACATAGGTCCATATCTAAATTTGATCTTATTTGTCCTTATGAAGTTGTAAGAAATGAATGCGGATAGAAATAAAAACCAATGAAAATTTGTAAGCATTTTATATAATATTTATCCTTTTTTAGGGTTTGAAATTTTCAAATTAGTTTAAAATTTTGTATGTTAATTCCATTTTCCATTGTAATTAGGTTCAAACTTTTGTTTGCTTGAAATAAAGAAAATTCTAGAATGGATGTTAATATCATTATGGGTGTTTATAGTTGGTTATTAAATTTTGTTAATTATAACTTAACTATTAAAAAACAGTTAGCCGCTAACAGTTAATCGTTATTAACAGTTCGGTTACATGTTAACTTGTGGTTAACCTATTATAATTTTTTTCCCGACATAACACAACATGAAAGTTTCAGAATTTCATAAACTTTACGATGATAGTATTTATTTGTAGATGTATTTTATTTTATAAAAATATATATATTACAAGGTATAATGAGTTTTTTGTAGTTAAAAATCTCATGTGCATTTTTATATTTTACAATTTAAAATCAAGTATTTTTCCATCTATGTTTGATTTAATGTGCTCCTATATAAGATAAACATAATAACTAAAAAAATAGGGAGGAACCATTTTAATTTTATTTCTAATTCTATTTTTTTAAAATAGAATTAATTAATTATAATTTATTAACGGTTAATCGATGATTAACCATTTATCAAAATTCATAACTGTAACTGTAATCGTTAACCGATATTTTTAGCGGTTCAGCTAGCCGTAACCGTTAGATCTTAACGATTCGATTAAATAACTTATAAAATGTAACGGTTTTACAGTTAACGGTAACATATTAATCTGAACACACCTAAATATCGCCTACTAATTTTACAAGATAAAAGTTATAAATGGATATAAAATTATTTTAAATGATCTCTTTAGACACAAAACTTTCAAAAGTTACATAATAGGTATTAAATTTTAAATTTTGTTACAAATAGGCAGAACACCATTATCTATTATTAAAGAGGTGTTGTGTCATATTAATTTTATAGAAAATATATCATTTGACCCTTTAATTGTAACTAAAATTTTATTTTATTATAAATTTTAATTAAAATAAATTCTAGTAAGTTCGTTGAATTAAAAACAAAATAAATATTAATTTTTAATTTCATATTACAAATATTAAATTTATATCGTATAAATTAATTGATACATTATTAAAACTTAAATATTGTTTGGGTTAATTTTTATTCATGTTAGTGCAAATTATGCATCCGTGTAACTAAGCTAACTCAAAGTTAAAATATGGTAATTAATAAACTCAGAAAATTTTCTTAAATATTGTTTGGGTTAATTAACTAAAGATGATACCCTTTATGATGAAAAGTCCTTTTGTTTTAGGTACCCTCAAAATCAAAATTCATGTACGTACTGCATGCTTGTCCAGTGTTATAGAAGCTGATGCAGAACAGATTTCATTGATGGCACGGGATACATTTGATAAGTATATTCCTCTAGAATTTCTTTCTTTACTATTACTTTATGTTGCACAATGTGACACTTTGAATGATTCTAATTTGATCACCGATCTTTCATTTTGTCAATCACATCACTTAACTATTTAAATTATATAAATCAAATCACTTTTCATTGATATTTAACATATGAGCTGATGTGACAATCAACAAAATTAATATATACAAATTTGATTCTCAATACTTGTATATTTTATCAATTTGATTTTTGTGTGGCACAATGAACTAGATAATTTAGTGAATCATGGAATTTGTTATCATTTTGATTGATCATCTTATTAAGGATCATAGTGCAGTCCTTTTATGTTAATTGATACTGTCTAGTGTGAGTCTTTTATTGTAGTTAATTATTATTGTTGTTTGAAACAAATTAAAGTGTCCTTTGTATATGTAGGTATGTTAATCAGTTTAAAACAAGCTGTTATAGAATCCTTTGACGATTATCACATGAAAAGGATTCAGACATATCCACTAGCATTATTGAACTCATTTTGGGAATGTTGGATTAGGGAGGTCAGGTGGGTTTAGTTGACTGCTTAAGAGAATAGATACGATGTTTGAGTTGGTATTTTGTCAAAGTCTCGTTTGACCTTAATTATAAGTTACTACTCCATTTCTATTATACTCACATGAAATATCAAAGAACACCTTTTTTTTATTATTATTAATTTAGGGTGCTTATAAGGGGTAATATCTGTTCAAAAGACTCAACTATTTGACAATAAACGCTCAAATACATTGCAATCTCTGGTGCTCGAACTTGGGACTTACATGAATAACAATCATTCTTTTAACCACTGAGATAACTTGGTTTAACAAAAATAACTTAAAACTAAAATCTATTAATTGATAGAATGATCAAGAATATTTATATTGTATCATTTTATATGAGTTCAAGTCCAAACAGTGGTGGATCTATTTGTATGTTAGGGTGGACACACGACCACCCTGAAATCCGAATTTCTTTAGGTTAGTTGTTTATTTTACTAATGGTGACCAACCTGAAATTTTATTTATGTTTGTCTCATGCGAAAAATTTATATTATTGACATATATATATATATATCGGCCTTGAAAAATATTTTTACATCTGCCCATGCTTTAAATATTTCCAACAATAAATGGGGAAAGAATTCCCTACTCCATTGATAACAAAAATAAAAAATAAAAGAGTATTGTCTTCAACCCTCTTTAAAAACCTCATCCATTCACCCATTTTTCCATCACAAACAAAGCTTCAACTTCTCCTCTTCCTCTCATACATCTAATTAAGCTAAGCTCTCAAATTTCCCCTCTCTTTTCCATCCCAAACAACAGAACATGATGAAGAGCGAGGATCACTCAGCCATTAATGTACCTGAATCAAGCGCTGTTGAGAAAGGCAAAGCGCCGCTCATTGCCACCGCGAGGGAGGAAAAGAGCGGATTCAAGAAAGGATTAGGTATTGCCGACTTCCTTCTCAGACTAGGAGCCATTATTGCAGCTTTAGCTGCCGCTGCCACCATGGGAACCAGTGATGAAACTCTTCCTTTCTTCACTCAATTCTTTCAGTTCGAAGCCAGTTATGATGACCTCCCCACATTTATGTACGTTGCTTAAAATTAACGTATGTATTATGTATGATCAATTGGTCATAGCTATACATAGCTGAAGAAAGTATGGATTATAATGAGATTATATGCATATATTGGATTTATCTGCAGGTTTTTTGTGATTGCAATGGCACTAGTCGGCGGATATCTCGTCCTTTCCCTCCCTTTCTCCATAGTCACCATCGTCCGCCCTCATTCAGTTCCGCCCAGACTTCTCCTATTCATTTTGGACACTGTAAGCATTCCCATGCATGCTAGGAAATCTATTTCCATATGAATCTATGAAAAACAATATATCGTGGAATGTAGGTGGCATTAACTTTGACGACTGCAGCCGGTGCGGCGGCGACTGCCATAGTCTACTTGGCTCACAATGGGAACCCAAACACGAACTGGCTAGCCATCTGCCAACAATTCGGTGATTTTTGCCAGAAAGTGAGCGGAGCTGTGGTGGCATCCTTCGTTACTGTTGTGGTTTTCATCTTGTTGATTCTACTGTCTGGTTTTGCCCTCAAAAAGCACTGAAAAAAGGGAACAGATTGTTGAAGAAAACAAGCACAAGAGATCGATAGACATTCATTACAACTTGGTATTATGATTGATTGTATGTGTCTTACTTTCCTATGTCTTTCTTTTTCTTCGTTTTAAAACAGTGAGTTTAGATTTGTTAAAATTATTGATATTTCTTGTCTGAGAACAGTTCAGATGAACTTTGTACATCTGTTGTACGTTGACGAGGAAATTGAACACATCCTTTAATGCTTAACGTGTTTGATGTTCAACAAATCCACTTATTACTTTAATTAACGTAGTATTCCTTTTCTTTTCTTTTTTTTTTTTTTGACAAATTTAATATTATTTTTGTAATGCAATTAACATAAAGGGTTAATGTAAAAAAATCTTCGACCTATATCTAAGGTTAACTTTAAGTGTATAATGTTTTTTTAAAAGTAGGTGTCTAATGTTATCTCCGTTACACTTTTAGGTAGGGATATGCAAAAATATCCGACCTGGTTGACCCGACTCGAACATAAAAGACAGGCTAATTTTCTAAAAAAAATTACCCGGTAGGTTCAGGTACCCGCCGTACCCGACCCGACTTTTCCCGGGTAGGGCCTGAGTCACAAAATTGAATTTTTCTAGGTATCCGGTTACCCGAGTACCCGATTAGGGATTTATATATATATATATATATAATATTATTATATATTTAATTATTAATAATATATTATTATAAATTTGAAAACAAATCAGGTATCCTGGTACCTAAAATACGGGTACTCGTAAAATCCGGGTACCTGACAACTTTTTGGTCGGGACACGGGCTGAGAAATCAATTACCCGAAGATACGAGTACCTGACACTTCGGGTACCCGAAAACCCAGGTACCCGGATTTGCACATCCCTATTTTTTAGGTGCGTAATGTTTCTGATGTTATATTTTTAGGATTTTGGGTTATAATTGTCGTTAAAAAATGTCATTATCTGACAAATTTTAGACTTATAAAATTTTTAAAAAATATTTTTAAAATAAAAAATTTAACTTTATTTTTTTTAAAAACCCCCAAATTTCTTTAGAATTACAAAAAAATCATAAAACTTTAAAATCCTTAATTTCAAACGCATTTGCATCCATCGTCGGCTATCTTCATCCACCATCTTCGTCGTCAAAAGTCACCTACTTGTCTTCGCTCACCCATTGATTGGTCATATTTCTTGTCTTTTACCCAAACCCCAAACTCTTAAATAATAAATCCTTAACCCTAAATTTAATAGGTAGAGGATTTAGTTGGGATTTAATCCTAATAATCCCAGATATTGGGAGGGATGGGATAACTAAGGGATGGGATGAGAGGGAGTTTGAGGGGGAGTTAACTGGGAGGATGGCTTGGGGGTGATTAGGGACGAAGGGGATGGTCGGGGAAGGGGAGCGTATGTATTTAAAAAAAATATGTTTTTTTTTCAATAGTAGTATGACATTACAATCCATGCATCTAAAAATGTAACGTTGGATACGTTAAGCACCTATTTTCAACTAAAAATTTTGAGTACTTATTTTTACATTAAGCCTTAGTTAAATACAAACTAATACTTATAAGTGTGGAAAAAAACAAAACCTACCAAAATACCGCAAAAGCAGAATTGATGTTATTTTTCTGTCAATAAAATAAAGGGTAGAGTTGACAAATGGTCTCTGATTATAGGGTGTTGATTTGTTGAGTATCCGAATGTTAAAAGTTATGAAATAATCCTTTGACTATAAGATATTGCTTTTTTGAGTCTCCTGACTATTAAAAGTTACAAAATGATTACTCAACTATTCATATTGTAACACCCCAAGCCACTGGCTAAATTTTAGGAATTTTGAAGTATTGATTTTAATTGGTATTTTGGGAGAAATTAAGGATTAAAGTGTGAAATCGTAAAGTGAGCATACCATTTTAAGAAGTGCAGGAAATTCAGTGACTAAACTCATAGTTTACCTATTTTTTATATGATGAATTATAAACCCCTTTTCCCCATATGTTTCTGCAAAATTTCCTCCATTTTCTCTTCCTCTCAACCCTTCTTTGAGCTCCGATCTATGCACCATCTGACCACCGTTCGACGGTCATAAACCACTATCGTGTTCATTGTTGACTGAAGAACAAAAACCCTCAAACCTCTCATCGTGAATCGACTTCGTTTGTCGTAAATTTCAACCAGAAGTATCATCGGTTTTAACTCAATTTCCATTGGTTTTTCGTTGATTCACGTCGATCCAACCACCCGTTTTCGACACCTCCCGCACCATCGTGTTCCTTGCATCGTTTCGAGTCCACCGGTGTGCTCCGTGTCTCCGTCGTCGCCTGCTCGTGGAGGGTGAGGAAGCCAAAGTTTCCGACGTTTCAGAATTGAGCTCTCTACCGTTCAAAATTGTGAACCGAGCTTGGTAAGTGTCTCAAAATGCCATAAAATAATTTTTAGAAAATTTTCGGGAATTTTTTGGACACCGTAGCACTGTTTACGCGCCCCCACGCACCGTCCCTACGAGAGGGGGAGCTTCGGAAACTGTTGGGGCAATTTGACCCAGTTTTGACCCGACCCGTTGACCCAGCCTGTTGACCTGACCCGTTGACCGTTGACTTTGACCAAAAAGTCATATTATATGTTTTTCGACGTCCTGAGTCTGATTCCGAAGTCCGTTTTTCAAAATTCGAACCTGAAAGCCTCGAAATTGTCAGTAAAACCCGTTGACTTTGACCAAAAAGTCAAAATTTTCAAAAATTCATATTTTATGTTTTTCGACATCCTGAATCTGAATCCGATGTCCGTTTCTCCAAATTCGAACCCGGTAAACTGGTTTTGACTGATTAATCACCCGATTCGATCTGTGTTTCGCAGTTAAGCTTCATTTTTTAATGAAATTTCAGTTGATATGCATCAAAGGAATTATTGGAAGTTGATTTCAAGATCGAGGGCGTTCGAATGGGATTTATATGGTCTATCAGTATGGCACGAAAAATGAGGTAATACTTTACTACCTCTTTATGCTTTATGGAACATGATGATATTGGTAAATGCATGAATAAAATAATGTTTGGTCTCATTTGTGTAGTTAATTAATTTATACACTCGATCCGAATACGCTAACAGAATATGGTTCAGATGATTAATATAAGAAATTGGAGGACAGTTAGAATTAAACTAAGTTTTGTGATTATGTGATAAATGAATCAGTCTGCTTTTGTAATTTATAATTTATATCATCAAAGGTTAAATGTTAAGGGTACTTGGATGAGAAATTATGAGAATACTCCGATTTGGTAAAATTATGAAAATACCCTTATGTTGGAAAATGACAAGAATTGTCCCTGGAAGTTGATTAATAACTCTGAAAAGATATATTGATCGAATAAAACTACAGATGTGCATAAGAAATGTTAGTTTTGTTTAGAAAATATGGATAACCGATTTTTAACCCCAATAGGGTTTGTGCAAGATACTAGAAGTTTGATAATGAATCATTTCAAGTTCAGATATTATCCGAGAGAGCAATTAACTCTAGGATCTTTAAATTATATTATCCTTGTTATGAGTTTAATACTGAAATTATCTAGTTATGAAATTACGAAAATGCCTTGAGAGGTATAAATAGTCTAAGTTGACCCTGAATGAGAATGTACCTTAAGATTTCGTACCTAACCCGATAAATTAAGGATTTAATTGTTAAGATCCTATCTTTGTACAGAAAAATTCCTGATAACAATTTGTAATTTCCGAGAAGGCAATTGACCTGAAAATCTTCGAGTTAAGAATAAATTATCGAATGTGCTCTTTTGTCAGAATTGTTCAAAGGGACTAGAAAAGATGATACGTTGGAATTAAATAATAAGATCAGATGGAAGGAAAGGATTGAAATACATTGGATTTGTAAAATGACCAAAATACCCCTAAAATGAAAATGACCCAAGAATATCACCAAGCCCAATAATGATTGGACATCCTCAAGCTTTGAAATAACTGGAATAACATTGAGTAACAAAATGACCAAAATTCCCTTATAGCCTAGACTAAGTAAATGTATTGGATTAATTAAGGAATCCAAATAAACATGTGTGTTACACTACCCTTAAAAGTTATGTAACAATACTTAAGTGAGCCGACCAACCCTAATGATATGTCAGTACCTGAACGGAATATATATCAGTTGAATACGTGTTCGTCTTCTCAAGTTTGGCTCGATGATAATTTTGGAAGTACTTAGCTCAACTCAACTCTAGATCGCATTCGGTACTAATAAATTAATATTCGTTAGACAAATCAACCACGAATACCAAATGGAACTGAACGGGAGTACAATATGTATCCGAAATTTAGAAATGTCTGAATTACTCTGGAAAACCCTGAAGTAACTAGAATGGACTTGACTGCAAACTAAGTAACCTCAATGACTGAGGATTAAGTAAGTGATTTGGATAAGTCTGGAAACTCTGATGAGTTTACATAGTGTACCATTACTATGGGTCATGAACCAAAAATCAAGTACGTCAGCATTTTCTGATATCGTTGAAGCGTGGAAATGAAATAAAGTGGAAGACCCATTCAGTGATGACTTAAAAGATGATTTATGGACGATAATTGTTGGTATGAAAGAGTGAATACCTGAAGGACGAAGAATGAACCGGTCAACATGCATTAGTTATGGGAGTTATTCAGCTTGAGTTATTTCAATAATCTGATAGATCGACACAGACTGTAAATGTCCTAAACCTTCATTTCTTCCTTATCAGCTCAAGTCTCATTCTGAATAATTGATGATTCTGTCAGTTATTGAACTCTTCCAATAGTTATTCTAAATTCTGACATTCTATCGGTATACTAAAGATCCTTGTTTCTCTGCCCAATAAGATTATCCAGTACTCTGAATAATATCTGTAAACTCTGGTGTGTTCCCTACTCATATTAATATTTTATCTGATTTTCGATTTGAATTCTTTTCTGACATCTGATCTGAAATCTGTTCTGATTCCTGACATGGATTCTGTAATGATATCTTATTTGAATTATGTTTTGTTTTATGATATCTCCGTTTATTGAC